TGAGACAAGTGCACCCGGTGATTTTTTTTTCCCTACCAAATTTTATCAAGCTTTACCAATCTTCAAAGGCGCCGTCGTCCTCCTTCTCAGCAAGACAAATATTTGTCAGGCAGAAATCTGACAGATTTTTCAATTTACAAGCCACGATTTGAGGCAAAACGTCAATCAAGAAAATTTTATATCCCGTTTTTAATGCATGTTCCAAGTTCTGTTCATTCATGTGATTGACACTTAGTAGTCAACAAATAAAAAATATTTTTTCTGTTTTTCAGATTGACAAATTTAGAATTGACAAATTTAGAATCTGATGGAGATGAATTTTGTCGAGACTTTTGGTGAAGCCAAACAAATTTCGTCAGCCCAGCACCCAGGTCCTAAGTAACTCAGCCAGACTATTCAAATTTTGTTCCGGTATCATGAAGCACTAAGTTGAAGTTAATCACTTACGTTCTAAAACAAGAAGAATGCGCCAGCATCGAAGAATAACTATCATATGAAGGTACTTGGGGTAAGGATTCCCTACTTCACTGGAAAAAAAAAAATGTATGAAAATCAGATAAGTGTAACATCAATACAACCCTTCGAGCAAAATGCACATGAAAGCAACAAATGTACACAATTTAAAAGCCTTCCGTGCTAAGTTTGAGTCGTCATTTTCACAATTCGATTCCATGTTGCATATGTCTATTTAGTTATCAGATGACATCAAAATGTGGTAAGAAAAAAAAGTGGCACACGAGGAACAGCTAAGTGTATCACTGATCTCTACTAGCGCTGTTTAGATTTTGACGTCTTTTATCATCTATTACTGAACGGATGGTTGGACTGTTTCGAGTAAACTAGCTCGAGCACTGACGCGCTAACGGGAGGCACCAGGACTCTGACAGGGACTTTTGATCACTCTCTGAGTCCTGGGGCGGATCCAGGGGTAGTTCGGGTGGTTCGATCGAACCCCCTAAATTTTCCCTCAGAACACTGGAAATCATGTTTCCGAAGACCTAATTTTCAAAATCTCGGACCCCTCCGGAGGGGGACAATTCTCCCAACCCCCCTTGACTAAATCCTGGATCCGCTCCCGGAGTCTCTGTCACACTCTCTTTTTCTGCCCTAAGTACACGCTCTAAATATCCTGTCGGTAGGCATGTTTGGGCTTACGGGACAGTTGACATTGGCAGAGTAAACATATTTTAAGAACCTTACCAAAACAATTTCACGAGACATTCGAAATGAATAATAAAGTACTTAAAAAAAAAAAAAACCAACCAATCTTCGATAACTAAAACCCTAAACTAAAGCTCCCCCTGGGGATTCTCAACGAGCAAGGTCAAGGACAAACCCAAACACGATTAGCGATGACGATTATCGTCTGCGGAGAGTAAGGCCCTATTGACAGAGTTAAAGGACATTCAAAAGATAAAAATAAATGTGTGGTCTTGAGCACATGACAAACAAAGGCTCAAAAGACTCCAATAACGATTTCAAGCCCTAAAACAATTCTCAAATACTTATTCAGCCCAATCCTTATTATAGTTGATTCCAAACACTTCTAATTTTACTAGTTCAAAACAAGACGTACAGCAACATGGAATTTATTTGCTTTATATGATAAAAGAGCAAAATGCTGTTTATTGTGACGTCATTAATTATACTGCAGATTTACCTTAAGCAATTGCTTGTAATTAATTCTACCAGAAAATAGAAATACACCAGTGCAGCGTCAAACATCTGCGTAAAACAATATAAATATTATCTGGATTGTACGCGTAAAAAAATTAAACGAAAACCAAACAGTGTACTCCCCGCATTGCGTTATATACATCTCCTGAAGGTAGTATCCTTCTGGCTGCAAAAACATCAGTTCTGAATAGCTTGCCGTCAAGTTTGCGCTGTGCCTGGTTAATAAATATTTCTTACTAGCTGAGGTCGAGGTCGCTAATTTAAGTTACGGACTGAGTTTTTTCCGATCGGTTTATGTACTAAGTGCGAAGCGCGCGGGCGAGCGGGAAAAACTTGGTCCGTCACTAACCGTACGAACCGAGAAAACGAGGTGAGTATTTTGAGTATATGTCTGGGTTCAAATAGAGGGGAAGGATTTTATTCCAATCAAAATTTTGAATTTAGCGGGCCGTACCGTGAAAGAAAGCCCGTTAAATTTACCAATCATAACGCACGTACGAGAGATAACCTGTAATAGAGGAGCTGTTGATTACCTCCATCTTGTCTTGAAACAGTTCTTTTTTGAGAACAGCCATTCTTATAAGACACTAGAAAGAACAACAGAAGATGCTGATGAAACATTCCTTAGCCCCGATTGACTCAAGACGAACACTACCTTACAGATCCCCTGATAGGACAGTTCCGAGTTTAAGAGTTTTTTGAGAGGACATATTTTGTACAAGTCTTCTCCTAGTTAAAGCCGGCGAAATTAAGCTTCAAGCCTCAGGCCACCCACCACACCTATATCTCACGAAAAAAACACTTCCTCCTCTCCTCGTCTGATGTTGTAATACCAAGGACAGGACCACATTGTAAGCAAGGCACGCGGAGTATTGATATGGGCGGCTGTGGGGCGGAGGGCTGGGGGCGAGAGGTTTAGGTTATCCGGTTAATTGTAACGAAAAAATGTTGTACGAATGATGTAAACATCTCTCAAATTTTGCTTGGGATTGTGGGGGCGTTTTCTTTCTCTTCTTGATAATTCGAAGTAGAACTATTTTGTAAATAATCCGTGAAAAAAAGATATACGTGCATGCAGATACTTACAGGAGCTATACATGTCGATGGAAATCATGACAGTTGTCGTAAGTGATGCATATTCCCCTTTACCCCTATTGCCTGAGAGTGACTAACTTCTAATTTCTCCTTACAGTTTAAAGGCTGAATCAAACATTAAGGTCATGAGAATAAAGCAAATGATCACCGGTTCAAGAATTAAGCTCTTGATTGTCAAACATATTCTCCTTATCGGATTCATAGCAAATGTTGAGAAAACAGTGTGGAGAATGTGAACACTGATGTTACGCTGTAAGAAGTTAACGAAATAGACACTGGTACTAAAGAGGACCGTTTGGATAATTGAAACCTTACCTCGAGAACAAATAAGAACATTATCACCAAATTGATGTAAAGAAAACCATTAAAAATGAACTCGATTCCGTTATCTGAAAGATAAAAGCCATGATTTTAGGACATCTTTGACACATAAACGTGAAATGCCATCAGTTTAAGAAAAGTTTAATGATGTGTCTTCAGTATTAAATGGCACCTATGCTTAGCGATTGGCTTACCCAGTAATCTTAATGACACTAAGAGAGGCAGGGTGGTTTAATAATTCGGTATTGGACTGGTTCTGCTTTTTATTAGGACGCTCAAAGACTGGTGTAGGAATGCCACGCCACTCTACCACCCAATAAAATGTGGACGAATACTAATTGCATTTGACCGCTTGCTTTCCAACGCTCAGGTGGTTTTCAAGTATTCCCTTGGAGTTATAGTTGCCAACTTGATATGTTTACCTTAGGCTTATTTATTTGGTTTTAAAATGAATAATGTAAAAAGGCCATCTTAGAGAGTTTACAAAGGTGACGTTTTGAGTGCTAGCCCTTCGTCAGAGCAAAAGAAACTCTCTTCGATGGCCAATTTACGTTGTCAACTCAATTGACAAAAGCAAATTATCCTGTAATACCCTCCACCGACGCAGCACCTCTGTTTCTTTAGAAACATACCCCCTTTATTAATGTTTGCTGTGATTTCCCATTACCTTCCTATCGTCCCTAGCTGAACAACCGCATGCTATTCCCGGGGGGGTACTCGATATATTCCTGGGCGGGAAGGTGCGGCGCGGCCCCTCAGACCATGACCCTGTTTAAGACAAACCTCGCTGATTTTCCTACCCTTTTTTAAGACAGAATTCCGATTTTTGATACCCTGTTTAAGACATTTAATGTGCCTGGTATCAATGCCAAAATCAACGGAATTCAATATTAATTAAAATTACAGCTTGTAAAAATTTTGCTGTTTATCTTCCAAGAAAAGAGACCCTGTTTAAGACAAAATTGATCAATCAATACCCTGATTAAGACAGAAAATGATAAATTTGATACCCTGTTTAAGACAAAAATCTTAAAAAAAAAACATACCCTGGCTGGCCGCACGCCCCATGCCCTTATAAGGGAGTACCCCCCCGATGCTATTTAAACCATTTTATCTCTTCATACCGCCACACATATCTGTTGAGCCTTACCATCAATCACATCAAAGTCAGCAAGAATATTGACAATCACTAGGAAACAGTCCACCAGAGTTACCATGACAACTGTGAAGTTAGCGTGGCGATGAGTTATAATCGCTTTCAGATTATGCTGCCCCATTTCATCCGTAAACCGCTCCTGTTGATAGGAAGAATGTTTTGAAAATTGCGAATTCAATTAATCCCAGACTGAACATGCAACGCTGGCAAAAATTTGGCTTAGCCCCGAAGCTTCGATTTTTTACCCCTTGCGTAAAAACCGATTGACACAATAGTGACACCGTAGGTTTTGTACCAGCAGAAGAACCGCCCTAAGCTTCTAGAGGCCTCGTTTTTAGCAGTAAGCGACCTTTTTTTGGAGACTTAAAACTTATGTAGTCAGTGTTGATATTCAGAGCATGCTATACATGTACCATTTAACGACATCGTTTCTTCTGACGAGTGTTTGAAAGCTAGCGAGTGTCGTGCGTCGCGACTTCTTTTATTTCATAAGTCATATCATAGTGTACTGACCTTCCACTTGTTCTTTATTTCCTCTTTACAAATAACCCAAATTTTTGCTAAGAACTGCAACAAAAAACGAGTTGGAAAATAGTTTGAACAGGTCACGTGATTCAAAAGGTCTAACAAAATTATCGTTTTGTTTATGAGAATGTAGAATTTCCCTCAATTCGCAATTTTAATTTGGACGCTGGAGATCATCGAGCAGAGGCCTATTTTGGTTGTTTAAATCACATCAGAAACTTTAATTTTATACTGTCTTCCCAAGGTACGTGAAAATTCCCTCTCCACTGAAAGCCAAAAAGCGTCTGAGGTTTCTCGTAAGTTTTAAGCTAAGCTAAGCTATAGGCAAATGGGAGTATTTCACCGGCTTAAACTCGCTGATGATCATTCGTGTTCAGAATAGGAAAGAGGTTATGTAGGAATGAAGTTTACAACACAATGACCCAGTCGAGGGCTAACCCAGACCCCTCTACCCGCAATCTAGGCCACAAGCCCAATAACCACCACTTCCTCAATAACCTGGCCTATACCCGGCCGTGTATTACGAGGTTTAAGTCCCATAAAGTTCTTACCTGGAATATAAAAAGGATGAATACACAGACACCTCCAGAGTACTTAGTGGTACTTTTGTCTGTTAAAAGGAAAAATACTGCTTAATATGGGGAGTAGGGAGTGGTGTTGACAGGACAAAACAAGAATATAAAAACATACTTGAACCGTGAAGTGGAAGGAAATAACGAAGAGAAAAACAGATCAACTAACAATGGCCAGTGGATCAATACGCGTCTTAACAAGATGGCAGCGCAGCCCAATTCTTTGAATGAGAGAATGATACCGAAAAGTCATTAGCTTTCTTTTTATATTACCATTAGTTTTTGCGTCGTTTGCTTTCGCATCATCTGTCGGCGCACTGTTTTCCAGGTTAGTCTGCTGACCGGCCTGCGGACTCGCTTGGTAATTAGAAACCGCCGCCTCGATCTTCTGATCAACTTTGTTCCAAAAGGAGGCCACCAACTTATCGACGTATTCCGTTGAAAACAGTTCACTGTCCTCCTCTGGAGAGTAGGCTCGGGCACTCGCGGAAGTTTCAGTTTCTCCACTTGGGAGTACCCGTAGAGAATGTGTTGTGTCACTTGTGACTGGCTTTGGAGATTCATTTGAATCTCCTGGAATGTGGGTTTTGTTCCAAGCTTCTTTTGAGAAATCGCTCTTGATTTTATTCTTGTCGCGATGTTTCTCTGGCGATATCTCCCTATTGAATCTGGAAAAACGGTTAAAAGACAAAGTTCACTTGGTCTCTAAATCAACAATAAGATTGCACGTTATTTAATCATCTGCTGATCCCATACTGAGTTGACAGAGCACAATATGAAGGACTCGATCAAATGAGTAATATCTCTGATAAATCTTAACTCCTTTTTAGCATGCAGCGCAAACCTGTATCATGCAGCAGTCACCTGTTTGCAATCTTTTTGTCGTATATTTTGACTGACACCAATTTGGTGGATTATATATATTCTAACCAACGCTACCGCTAAATAAAAGCCTACCACCCGACAGATTAGCTCCCGTGTTAAATCTAAACTAACACATGGGTTTAGGTCACGGCCCATGCAAAAGAAATCGTGGTATTTTTTTCCCCTTAAGTTGACGCCGTGATCGGAGATAAAAAAACCAACGAACGTTTTTGTTTCAATCGACTCACTAGAAAAAACTTAAAAATCGGTAATTGATGTTGGAAACTGTACTTTACGTTAATTATTCTCTATTCGATTGACATTTATAAGCCATTTCGTTTATTTATACATAACTAAGCAAACATGTATGCAGCACGCGTTTTATCGTCCCATATATGGCGCTGTTCCACGTGCTTACAACGGGACGTGGAGTGTGTTTCCTTCTAATTAATAAGCAGAGAGTTGTGAGTAGGAGTCAGCTGAAGGGTAGTAGCAAAATTATTGAATCAAACGAATAAATCGTGAGTTTATGAGGAAGCGTGGTACAGCTTTTTCACGTTTTCGACATTGGAAGCTCACGAAGCTCGCTCTTCCAGCGAGAATGAAGTTTTTTCCGAAACCTTAACTCTTTAACCCCTAAGAGTAGCCAACTTCTAATTTGTCCTTACAATATAACCCATGAATCACACATTAGGGCCACGAGAATAAAGAAAATGATCACCAAGTTGAACTAAAGAAGCTCTCGATTGTTAAACAAATTCTCCTCGTCAATACCATAGGAAATGTAAAGACAAAGGTGCAGAGAATCTAAATTCTAGTTTTAGGGTGTAAATGGTTGGGCGAAGATGGAGTTTTACTGAAGAAGCTCCATTTTAAACCGCAATGTTGAATCTTCAAAAACGATGAAATCGGCTTCGATTTGAGCGAGTTTTTTCGTAGTGTATACTCCGTTCCTTTACACAACTCGGAGTTTTCAATCAGTAAGCATGTTTTAAGACAGATGTATAAAAGCAACGAGAAACAAACGGCCCTGAATAGAACCAGTCGAGCAATTTGATTATTTTCCTCTCACGGAGTAATTAATCCAGCATAAATATTTGATAGATTAATATTCTAAGTCAAGTGGTTCTCACCTTCTATCGCCAGACTCCCGCCTGGTAGATCGGCAATCTTCGTCGCTTCCATCGCTAGTGTCCTCTGTCTCCGTGTTTGCGCTAGCTAGTCTACAATCAACGATAACTTTTTTTTAGTTTCGTCAGGGGAGGTGAAGCGTGAAATCTTGGAGAAATGCGTCAAATTAATAATCACAGGTCCTACGATTTAAGGAAAATTACCTGTCGTAGTGTCGATCGGTGTGAGAGGTAAAAGACATCTGCGCCAATAATCCTCTCCAACGAGTGGTACATTCTTAAAATGCCCAAGCCCTTATTAGGCCGAGTGTCTGAGAAACAACTGCTTATCTCACTGGCCTTGGATTTTCGGATTCGCCAAATTTTTTCGAACTTCGATTAGACTGTGTGGAGACTCCGTATCTCTGACCCGTTCGAAGGGAAAAAAAACACGCGGGTGCCCTATTGACGGCAATTTTTAGCTCCGTGACAACATCGTGTGTAGATTTAAATGGCCCAATCCAGGCTTTGTATTTAATTTGCAATTTTACTTTCTAGTGATGGATACCGGATTGCCAGGGATATGGGGCTACTCGTTGTCAGTAATGTGGACCGAAGTTGTATTCAATCTCCTACAAAAATCGTTTCATCAATTTACTGAAAGTCGTTTTCACGTAAACTTAAAGTTTGGTGAAAACGAAAAACCAAATGATCAATTATGCCCAGAAAAGAATTCGATCTAATTACGCTGTTCTGGTTACCAATCATAGACAAACAAGACTCTGAGATATCACCATGTTTCTAAATGTGCGTATTTTTCAAACAAAGAACACGAGCGCCTTTCCCATGGGGCTGGGCATGAAGGCTTTTAATAGCCCATTTCCGAATTACCCTTGGCCTCATTTTCAAAACGAGGCCTGGTGCACCACCATTCTTGTGAAAATGAGTTTAATTTGCATGTGAACGAAAACTTATTATCTTCTGAAAGGATGAGCACCAGGACTCGTTTTGAAAATGAGGCCAAGGGTAATTCGGAAATGGGCTATTGCAGTCAGTTTCGCCTTGTAATCAATCTATTAGCCATGACAACAATCTAGAGCTAGCGCCCAGTGCCTTCTAAAGGAGACTAAAGGCTTACGTTTAGTTCTTCAACACTGTTTTTGTTATTTTCTTCTGCATGCATCAAAAGAAAGAGGAACAATTCTTCAAGCCATACCTTTGCAAAGTAAAATTGTCCAAACTTAATTCCTCCGAGTCAGAAGAGGCAGTATACTGGTCTACAGATTCCATTCGTCAAGTCTTCTTTTACGTAGGAATTGCTTGATAATCCACGCCGGCCATTCCTCTTAAACTTTGCGATGTTGTGTTTCATGGTCGTCACCTGAAAAGTTGATGCTAACGAAAATAGTTTATGAAATATGACACATCTCTCAGAAGTTTAAAATTATTAATATGCTCGACACTGATTTGCTTCCTCCACCTCCAATCCTCAAGAGAAACTCGGATCTCCAGCCCTTCAAGTGAAGATTTGTACGATGATCATAAAGGAGAACCGTTGAAAGAGCTGAAACTCTCTCCTTCCTTCCTTCCTTCCTTCCTTTCCCCTTAAAAGCCACTCTGCGTCATCGTTTACTCTCTGGCTTCAGTTCATTTTTCAATCAACAAAATAATTTCCAACTTGTAAGTGCTGGTGCGTTAAATAGCGTGTTTTGGTTGTGGCCATGTTAAGAAATTGTGAAGTTGTTCAGTGAAATGTCCTTGTTCTCCCTGTCACAGTTTTGTCGACGGGTGGTTCAATTAACCCCAGTGAAAGGACACATCGATAAGACAACGAAGCAAAATTGGTACACCTGCTGCAACCGGTAATTCTGACAAAAGCAAACCACTAATACAATAAGTTTCACCCAAATAATAATTATGCACGATATTCTGTTCAATGAAAAATAAATGATTATGAGGCTTCGAATTCTTGTTCGGAATTAAAGCAGAGTTTGTCAATTTAGTGGCGATAAGTTCTCCCATGTCGCAAATTTTGGATGCCTTCTCATCTCAGATCAAAATTAAGTAATAAATCATTCATTAAAAGAAAAAATTCTGATTCATGGAGATATAAAAAATATTATTCTAACATCGGACAAGCTACGTATTTCTTTAAAACCCACGAGTGAAAATTGACAAAAGAAATAGGAAAAAACACTAAAGGTATCATGATTTCAAGTTCTTTCCTGGAGACAGATTTTTGTAATAAAAGCATTTCCTAACTGATGAAAAGCATTTCCTAACTGATGTTTAGAACACCGATCACACACGGCTGGTTTTCGGTGGTTGAGAACACTTCTATCGATCATGCAAAACGGGCTAAGGATCTTTGGAAATTCTTTTAAGGATCTTTGGAAAGTCTTGAAATAATTACGTATCGTTTAACCTGTCCAATCTTGTTGCCTTAGAAGTTAAAGTAGTTTAGCCTGTTGGTTGGTGGTGGTAGGGAAATTACTTTTCAGTATCCTTCCTACCTTCAGCGAATCCTTAATCAAAACGAGTATCAACCCTCCGTAGAAAACCAAATTCTTTTAAGCTGCTATTTGTGTTTGCTGCAGAATAATCCGTTCTTAACGTTCTGTTTGTACGTTCGATTTCTCCACACATTGTCTCTGGCGTTTACAAATGGGAGAATGGGAACCAACGGTTTCAAAACATGACCGACCTTTCGTTCCGCCCTCTCGTCAAATGACAGGTACATAAGTGTGTAAATAGAGAAAATTTTCTATTAAGTGTTCAAAGAAATCCGGTGTGACCAACGGGCGTGCTTCTCACGTACTTCCTCCCTCATTATTCTAAAATAATTCTGACCCCTGCTAACCAATCAGATATAAAATATAAAGACCTGACTCGCTCAGTTGCGTTTTGCCGCGCTTGAGGCGGTATTCATTTTGAGCTCTCATTGGCTCCCTCGGATAGTTCTCTTTGTTTCAAATGGCCTTTGCAATTAAGTCTCATACAAGCTCGTTCCATTTTCATGCAATGACTTTCAATACTGAACATCTCTTTCTTTCAATTATTGGTCAACATCCTTGTCCGCCTCAGATCTCTCTCTATCTCTCTCTCGGTCAGTTTTCAAAGAGGCAGCGGGTCGAGTAAAGAGAGTTGAGAAAAATGGAAGTAAACAGTGTAGTATTTATGTCTTTTGTTAGATATTGATATCATGGTAGCCTTATATACAGAAACTGAAGGATTCCAACCAAACATTAATGAGTGATGACAATGTAAATTAGTACACAAATTCAAAGAAAATCGTGGAGCCTTCAGTTGGAGCGACCATCACTTTGCAAGTGTAATTCCTTCCATAAATTGTTTACAACCGGACCCTACAATAGTGGATAGAGAGTATTTAATTCTAAATTGTTCCAAGTGTCTTCATAAAGGGACAACCCGAAATAAGATAAAAAGAGACTTTGTTTCATAAAACTAGTTTATTTTTATAGAAAAAGTTTCATTCTTGCTAGGTCTTAGATTTTCACTTTTCTTTTCTCTTTCTATTTTTCTTTCTGATGTCCGATTTTATTCTTTTCAGTCTCAGAAATTTTCTCGCTATCTAGATTGGCCTGCTCCCCAGTCTCTCTCTCTATTTTTCTCAATCGCTTCATCAGTACAGCTTCGAGAGATTTCAAGATCTTTTTCTTCCACGGAATGCTCTCCATCTCGAATCTCTGTCTTGTCTCGATAACTTTATTAGCAAGCTGTTGCAAAGAAGTGTACTGCTTCTTTGGAGGATGGGATGTTAGAAAACTGCACTGTTTATCGTTGACTTTTTCAGCTTTCTTGGGTTTCTCTTTTTCACGGGCAGCACCAGTTTCCAACTTTGGCGCTATCCTAACCATGGTTTTCGCAGGAGTCTTGGAAACTGTGTGTTGTATGTTAGACTGTTGGTTTTCCTGTTCGATATGAGAACCATCTGTAAGCTGAGCTGTTTGAATGGTGTTTTCAGGGTTGCGAATTGGGTTTGATTGCCGGCTAACTTGTTGGTTTGCTTCGCGGACAGGGCGTAACGTATTCATTCCAGCATCATTTTGAGTTTGCTGCTTGATCTGTGAGCGAGGGATTAACAGACTGTTCACTTCTTCGTCACGAGGAAATTCTTGCTGGTTGGCAATAAGTTGATGTTTGATTGGTTCATTATACTGAGCATGTGTGTTAGTTGAGTTGGGTCGTTGGTTTTTCTGCTCACCACATGACAGATGGACGTTGAAACTGGATTTTTCTTTTGCATTTCCTAAACCACGTAGGCCAGCACTGGAGGGTCGGTTAACCTGCTCGTTACTCGAAACATTGAGACTACTTGACTTAGCAGCAGGTGAAACATGAAGACTCACGGTGGGTTGTAGATTTCTGTTGGCAGTACTTGTTACATTGACAGTATTATAGGATTGCTGTTTTTCTTGCGAGCTTATGGCAAAATGGAAGTTAGCTGTAGATTGCCGACCAGGTTGCCCATTATTTGGAACACTGACTGATGCTCGGGATTGTTGGTGGTCATGTGCATTAGCTGAAATCCGCACGATAGTGCTGGGCTGCTGGTATACCTGTGCACTGTTTGTGGCTACAATATTTTTTTCTGATTTTACTGCAATGTCTGGTCTTTGAGGATAGATTTGCGGGGCAAGACATCTCGGTGAACTTTCTGCTGCTCTATTTATCATATTTTGCATACTTTGAAGAGGATCAGTTGATGTTTTCTCCATTTGTGGACGACACTTGGGTCCCACAACACAGTAGCACCGCCTACCGGAAGCTGCAGCGCCGCACACTTTCTTATGTTCCTGCTCTACCGCTGAACTAACAAGCGGACTCGCTTGAGGAATGGACTTCCAGCTTGAATCTCTGTGGCATGACTGCTTCTCAGGGGTCCTTTCGCGTTTTACCACAACTTCAGGTTCTTTAACCTCATTTCTCATCCGCGCATCAACTGTGGGGCCGGCAAACTCAACTTCAGTTATCGTTTTACCTGTGTAGAGACTAGGCATGTTGTCACTAATCAATCTTCCCCCTTTGAAGCGCCAGAGATAGCTTGCCTTTGTTTCGTGACCGCTGGAAATTTCAGTACTACGGGAGTCTGAATGTATAGCTTTTTCTGCAGCAGGAGGACCAGATTGGTCGGATTCGGCCCTGGATGAACTGCTGACAAAGCTGTTACAAAATGCTGTTGTTGTGGGTGAATTAACAAAAGAGAACGATTCCTTTTGTGCTGGCCTGGAAGTTCTTTCTGGAAAATGCCAAAGAACAGAAGCACGGATCGAAAGGTTTGAACCACTCTTTATCTCTTTCTCAACGTCTGTTCTCTGAGAGGTTCTAGAGACACGACTTATGTGATCGACGATAGAGTCGGCTACATCTTTATTTGGACCATCAAATGCCAATTCTTTATCATCGTAACTGAAAACCTGATTGGTTTTCGGTTGCACTTGTTCAAGTTTGATACATTCTGCTGTCTTATCGTGGCCTCGGAAAGAAGCCCCAACAGGTGAAAAGGTGGATTTGGAGCCAATTGTCGGATTTAATATTGAGCTTTGTGACAAACTAGAAATCTTTTCTTGGATAAGCATAGGGGAGTGTTGCATGGGCATGCTTCTTGTGTTTTCACCGGTGACATTGTTGCGTATTCGCTGTGGATTCAAAGGAACGGGAGAAGGATTCAAAGACGTCCGATGTCCTGCTTGGACCGATTTTGAGATATTTCGTGGAGAAAGATATCCTGGACAAATTGCATTGGAGAGCTGCGTACTAGGGGAAAGTCGAGAGTTACTTTTACAGACTTCATGGTTCTTTCGAACGCTTAATTCAGAGCTTATTTTTACTCTATGCTGCTCGAAATTCTGAGAATTCAAAATGTTCGCCAGGCATCCACTTTGAGTCTCATTCTCTCTTTGGCTCTTTTTTAACGTACACCAGGCGTCATAGAGTTTGCGCAGCTCACTTAAATTCACTCCACTTAGCATTTGTTTGTTAGGATCAGTATTTCCCTGGGAATACTCTAACCATTCCTTCAGCAGGTTCTCCTTTAAAGCACGTTTCACTTGCTCAACGTTTCCTTGGAATTTTGAAAGGAGATGATAAAGCGCAAAGCGCTCAAAGGAAACATCTGTGGATCTGTCCTTAAGGCCAGCAGAAGAGCTGTGACTTGTTCCCTTCTGCCAGTGGTGGTCATGAAGAGAACTTTGTTGATCTTGCGATGTGACTAGTCTAGTTTTGACGGGGGGTATTTCTTGCAGTTTCTCTCTTGTTTGTCCATGCACTTCAACGGGCGTCTGACAGTGGAATGATCTATCTTGAGCGGCTTTAACTTTGGAAATGAAGGCTTTATTTCTCTTCCATTCGTCCTCATCTCGTGTGCTCTTTGAAACGGAATGCACTGCAACAATTTTTGGCATCGCCATATGATCAAAGGCATACCCCCCACAAGACGAGTGATCATCGGTTGTTATTTGTCGCGGAACAGGTTGCGCTGTGGAAGCTTTATGTTTCCCGGCGTTCCCTGCAGATGACGAATATCTCCTATCATCCGTTTCCTTTATCTGAAGTCTATGATCAAGAACTCTGTTGCTAATTGTAGCATTTTGCAGAAGAGCTATTTTATTCTCACATTGATCACTATCCAATATCGTGCTCCATTTAGCAGTTGTGTGGTGAAAAATCTCTCTATGCTGTGGAATGTGTGGAGTTATCTGGGATTTTTGTCCATTTGTGTTCACTAGTGTTTGCTTCAGCAGCGGTGGAGGGGGTAATGATGGCTTCAGTGAGTTTTCAAGCGAACGAGTCCTCTCGAACATTTGTTCCCTGACATCGAAAGGCTCTTTCAGCACTCGCCCTGTTTGATGATCAAAATAAGCAGAACAACTCTCCAGTCTTGGGTGCTTAGAGTCTGGCGATGTAACATTCATTTGGCTATGCTCCAGGGATCGCTTTGTGGGTCGATGAAGAAGTGGGGGAGGTGCGAGAGAAGTCTTATGTTCTTCAACTTCTTCGTTGAGGATACTAACTAGCTCTTTCGCTTCCATGTTTTGCCGACAGGATGAAATTTCTGTAAACGAAGATAATGACGTTTCCGAGAGATATTGCTCCAAAAGACCACACAGTGTCTTTGTTCTATAAAACCTAGACCCATCAGAATCAGTCTGTGGACTATCGATGCCATACGAGGTCATCATATAAGGGGCGTTTCCGCGGGAAACACTGATGCCACTTGCACTGAGAGAATATTTCGCTGACAAAACTCTGGCACCTAGAAGAAGCAGTAAAAGTATGTCATTACCACTACATTATTTATAGAACAGTATCCCTGGTGAAAACTATTTTGGGGGGCAAAACAAGTATAACGACTGAGAAAATAACCGATTGACAACCTAACGGAAACAGAGATGACCGAAGTTTATTTTTTTTCGTTTGGGTACTTCGTTAGTTTGTGACATCTACAAGCGTTCAAATTTTCTGATTGATTCCACCAGTAAACTCATTTTGGACAAAGACAAAGAAGAAACCCCCGTTTCATCCCCTGCCTAGTTTGGAGTGGCATACCAAAAGCCGATCAAAATAGTTTTTGATGATATCCTTACATGTAAGAATACAAAACAGCAATAATTTTGTCAGAAATCTATTAGACTTCTTTAAAAATTTTATTCCCAAAAAAAATACCCTTCAAAATGGAACTTATTTAAGGAGATTAGCGCGTTTCTTATGCTCTCTCTCTAACTGGTTCAACAGGTAACTGGTTGTTTGAACCGCCTCAGTAAAAAAAAAGATACATTGCGACAGTAACCATACAAATGATTCGCAACATAAATGCAAGAATATTTAACTCAGTCAGAGCAGATTCATTGGGGAATGATGTCATTCGTCTTGCGACCGAAACGCCACAGAGTGAGGACACAGGTCGATGCCAGTTCATTTATATGCTGAGATCGCTGCTTAAATGATCGAAACTCGTGGAAATCAAATTAAAGGTTAATTTTAATTGGATGACTTCAGTACCAAACTTTCTTGGCTTTAGGCCCCAACCCTAATGGAATTTGAGTACAGTGGTGAAGACGGCCATTGAAGCTTTAGTATTTCAAATTGAACGACTACGACTGTTTAATTTGTCTGTTAATTTAAATCATCCTTGCCTTTTCAAGTTGTCATCAAACAGTAACTCCAGACAGGAGTTGCTAACAAATCGTACTCGTATTAAACGACTCGTCAGTGGGTATCTCAACGATCACGAAACAAAGAATCGCACCAGTAATAATATTCATCTGTGATTTCTTCGCCTAGGGCGACACTAAGGTTTTGTTGAGAGTCTTTAAATAATCGGGGCGAAAAGAATATCTTACCGTTTTCAGTTGTCAGCCTCAAAGTTGTCAATTGATCTTTATAAACACAAACGAATCATCGTCACAGGCACTATTTGTTGAGTCCGGTGACGCAGTTGCATACTTCTGTGTCACTTTTGAAACATCAACGTCTTCTGAGGAGAATGACTTCGCTGCAATAAATATGGCCAACGATCCATAACCGTAAATCTCTCTCCCCTAAAAAACAGAAATGGGTGAGTCGCGATGTTTTTAAACAGTTGAGTGACGTAATAAGCATGTAAGCACGTGAACAGCTGGTATTAGCAAATCAGAATTGTACACGGTTGAGCAATGCACTCAACTGGCTTTCAGAGATTACGCCACGTAAGCCACAGACCTGCAGATTACGTCAATCTTAAGTTGGGAAACGCCGTCGATTGGCTGAGAGTATAAACCTTTAAGTCACCTGTTGCAAGTGTCAAGAAGTCACAAATCTTCCAAACGCAGCGATTCCCCAGTGACACACAAGACAATCGAAGAACATCATTGAGAAAATACCGTGACAGAGCCCTAGATTGTCATCCCTTTTAATTTTGTAAACGCTCCCAAAATTGGTCGATTGCCATCATAAAAAAATAGATATATATATTTCAGTTTAGCCCGTTTTGCTCAAGCGAAGGCTTAAGGATGGGATAAAAGTGAAGTGATGTTAATGACAAACATACCTGCTCTATCAGTTTCGCTATATTCATTGAAGTATTTCAAAGTTTCTCCATTAACAATTAGATTTAATCTTCAGCTTCCATTCCGGTGACAAATAGACGTCAGCATTGTTTCCTGTTTACGGTCGTACGGTAGATAAACTCATCCGGCATTTATAGTGTTGACAAAAACTGTTCATTCACTAGCGATTCAACGATAACTTATTAATTAAACAAGCACCACCAGTTCATTAGCTGGTGCCGGAATAGATGTAAACTCAACAATCAGTGCAGGTTTGGTCACAAGAGTATCAAAACATGTTACATGTTATGTATCGCCTGGGGAGGTCGGAAGATCTGTGTCACGATAACATTCACCTGATCCCCTGTAAGACTCTCTAACAGTAACATGATCCACCCTCATTAGTAGTTAATTGGTAGTCATTTTTCTTTATACTTTGTTGACGACGACTGATTCCCCCCCCCCCTCTCTGTTCCTGCAAAAAAACATGCGTTCTCCCCAAATTCCTCCACGCCCAGCCCTTGGCGATAAACAATAAGTGGTTCCTTATTCTCTGCTTTAATTTCATTAGTGGTGAATTTTCGTCGCTTAATGCTCTAGTTCTAACATTTTTATTTAAAATCAAAACAAGGGTTTTTAGGGGCTCAGTTACATCTCCGTCCGTGTCCTGTAAACACATAAATTAGTACTGGTGTTCTCCCACGGAGGTCAGTATGTTGAAAAATTCAATACCTAAGATAGGAAAGAAATCTTAAGAGCGACTCTCTGTAAAAATACCACGGTTAGGTGTGCAAGATGGAAAAATCGAAATCTCCCAAACTTTGTCATATTAAAGCCCTTACGAAACTATTTTAGAAAGAACGAGATTCAGTTTCTTGTGACTGATATTTTCCAAAAAATAATTTTTTTGAATTTTCACCTCCGAGAGACCCTTAAACCACCGAAAAATGTGCTTCACATATTTGCGTAGTGAATAGAAACGGAATCAAATACCATGACTATTGCGATATAAGATGATTTTATGACCCTTCCTTTGTATGAAAACGTTGTTGTAATTTCAAAAGACTCCAATCTGAATTTTTAATTTTTTTTCAGAATCAGCCTCTAAAACAGTTTCACCGCGACTATCAATTTTGCCATTTTTCAACGGCAAAAATCCCTTCCTGGTACATGGCTTTCGTCGTGCAAATGCTATTCCAGAGAAAGAGCAATCCTTTTTCTTTCAATTTATGAAATAACATTTTTTACAACTTTTGAACTTGCGGTTGCAATGACGAATACAAGCAGTACACGATTGAACTTGGACAGCAGTTTAAACACAGGCGGCCCAAGCTCTCTTTAAGAACCACACAAGGAACATAATTTGCATATCGATTTATAAGGATTTGTATTGGATTTTCTACCAGATATCCATAGATATAGTTAAAAGTGAAAATATTAAATAAAAATGGCTTACCTTATTCCATACGTGTGTTGTTTGCTCCTGGTGCCGTTATTTTCCCGATTTAACTTGATTTAAGCGTTTTTTTTTTTTAATCCAAGAGAAAACCAGGATTCCATGTCTCAAGTCTTATGGACAAGGTCAATGTATTATACCGCGATAAACTACTCTGTGAGCCAAATAACCTGCAATCCGTGAAGGCTGAGTCAAGTCAATGCCCGGTAACACCTAAGGTTCTTCCACAAGGGTGGGCTTTAAGATTCACTAAAAAGGCAACGAGGTTCAGTGATTCCCAGCAACAGTACTTGGACGCGAAATGTAAAGTCGGGCAAGCAACAGGAGTGAAACTTTATCCAGTGGATGTTGCATGTGACATGCGTTACGCGCGAAACCAGGAAGGGGAAAAACTGTTGACAGTAAGTGAATTTTTGACCGAACGGCAAATTCAGTCATACTTTTCAAGACGAACCTCTAAACTCCGGCATTCTCATTCGGACGATCCAGAATCTGATCAAGACGAAGATATTATGGCCGCTGAAGAAGAAATCGCGCACGAAAATGTTCGCGCAGTTTCAGTTAGAGGACTAAGGCACCCAATTAATTGTTTTTGACACTTTCAACTTAAATTATGTGACGCGCACAAGGCAGGGAAACTGCGACAGCTAAGTGTTCCCATGCTGCATTCCATTTGCGAACATTTTGACATCATTGAAGATGATGAACATCAAAGGACGACGCAAAGCTGCTTACTTGTCCCTACTTGGAGAACGCCTGGTAGCATGCAGTTGTAATAACAGTTAGGGTCTATACCGACTAATTAAATGAACATACCAACATCAACATTCTTTGATTTTACGTTTGGAAGCAAAAAACTTATAATTGGCTTGAAAATACGGCTTAGTGAGGGAAATCAGGCCTCTGACTTTTATCAACTTTGTATATTCTTACTAAAGTGTAGAACATTACGCCTGATGCCAAAATTGTACCAGCCAGGATCCCATGCCGACAAAATCCTTCAGATCCTAGGCTGCCTGGTTTTTAACTATAAAATATTTTTTCATTTCATCGCGGAGGCCTAAGGTTTTCCTCCCGGGTAATAAGCACCTAATGGGAGGGAGGTTTGGGATTTGGTGAGATGGAAGGATTCTCATTTTTTTTTTCCCTTTAATTTCCAACAGGAGCTCGGCGGCCTACGAGTCCTGTCCCAAAGATTGATTTTGCTTGTTTGTTTGTTTGTTTTTTTCCAAAAGCCTACAGAGCTTTTTTTAACGATTATGGGATTTACTAGGGAATGTTTTGTCTGCTCTGGACCCAAGCCCAAGCCCAAACTCCCCCCCCC